TGGGAAGGAGATGGGAGATGGGAGACGGGAGACGGGAGACGGGAGACGGGAGACGGGAGACGGGAGACGGGAGAGGAGGAGACGGGAGAGGAGACGGGAGACGGGGACGGGATATGGGAGATGGGAGACAGGAGATGGGAGATGGGACACGGGACACGGGACAAGATAATTGGGAGGAAGTGTATGAGTCAATAGCATGACACAAACAGTTTGACTGAAGGTTACCTGGGACACTGGCTTGCATCCCGCTGGCCGAGGCACGAGGCCACGGGATCGCAAGCCAGTGTCCCAGGTAACCTTCAGTCAAACTGTTTGTGCAACATCCCATAACTAAAACAAAACTATATAATATTTTTAAATGTAAGATGTAAGAAATGATTGATTTCACAACTAAATAATATGTAGACACAGTGAGACAAGGCACCAAAGGTGCCTCCAGCAGAGCACGAAGTGCTCTGCTTGCTTCCTGTGCCGAAGGCACAACGGGCTTGGGCTAGTCTATAAAGTAAGGGAGAACGGTATGGGGGAAGGGGTGGGACGATTTGGGCATTTTCGCGTAGCCCACATGGTGTCGGTTGTTTCGGTTGTTTTCGGTTGCGTCGGTAAGGTCGAAAAAAGGATCCCATGTGGTTCTGTCAAGCGGAGTTTGAATTTGAAAAAACCGTTGTCCCTTACTATACGAGCTCACTGTCCAAACGTGGGAATTTGTAAAAATTGAGCCACAATGGGATTGGCAAGTGCTCACTGGCCCTCATTTTGCACAACAACAATGAATTTTATATGTACTGCAACTGTGAATACATAATAAATAGTAAAAATTGAAGGACAACAAGGGATTTTGGGATTTTTGTGGGGAAAAGAGAAAAGAGAACACCAAGCAAGTAGAAAAATGTGAAAAATGCAAAATGCAAAATGTGAAAATGCAAAATTGCGAAAATATAAAGATGGGAAAATTTGGCAATGGGTAAACAGAGGAATGGGAAGATGGAGAATGGAGAAATGGGGTGAATAGGAAGATGGGAGGATGGGAGGACAAGAGGAGGACAAGAGGACACAATGGGAGGATGAGAGGGCTACAGGAGGACAAGAGGATGGGAGGACAAGAGGAGGACAGGACAATGGGACATGGGACAATGGGACAGGAGAGACAACAGGAACAGGACATGGGACATGGGACATGGGACACGGGAGAACGGGAGAACAGGACGGGACATGGGACAGGACATGGGACATGGGGGAGAACAGGAAGGGAGAACAGGACACGGGACATGGGACACAGGACAATGGGACATGGAGACAGGACAATGGGATATGGGACACAGGACAATGGGACATGGGACAACGAGACACAGGACATGGGACAATGGGACAACAGGACACAGGACAACAAGACATGGGACAATGGGACATGGGACAAGATAATTGGGAGGAAGTGTATGAGTCAATAGCATGACACAAACAGTTTGACTGAAGGTTACCTGGGACACTGGCTTGCATCCCGCTGGCCGAGGCACGAGGCCACGGGATTGCAAGCCAGTGTCCCAGGTAACCTTCAGTCAAACTGTTTGTGCAACATCCCATAACTAAAACAAAACTATATAATGTAAGAAATTATTGATTTGTTATAATTAAATAATATGTAGACACATTGAGGCAAGGCACCAAAGGTGCCTCCAGCAGAGCACAAAGTGCTCTGCTTGCTTCCTGTGCCAAAGGCACAATGGGCTTGGACTCGTCTTAAAAAGTAAGGGAGAAGGGTGTGGGGGAAGGGGTGGGAGACGGGTATTCCGCGTAGCGCACATGGTGTCGCCAGCGTCGGTTTTTTCGTTTACAAGCCGCTTGGAATGCTTATTTCGCTAAGGTCGCTGAAAAAGGGATCCCATGTGGTTCTGTCAAGCGGAGTTTGAAGTTGCGAAAACCATTGTCCCTTACTATACGAGCTCACTGTCCAAAATTGGGAATTTGTAAAAATTGAGCCAAACGGGATACACCAAGCAAATAAAAATGTGAAAAATGCGAAAATGCGAAAATAGAAAGATGGGATTGGCAGGTGCTCACTGGCCCTCCATTTTGCACAACAACAATGATTTTATATATGTACTGTAACTGTGAATACATGATAAATAGTAAAAATTGAAGGACAACAAGGGATTTTGGGATTTTTGTGGGGAAAAGAGAAAAGAAAACACCAAGTAGAAAAATGTGAAAATGCAAAATTGCGAAAATATAAAGATGGGAAAAATTGGCAATGGGTAAACAGGGGAATGGGAAGATGGAGAATGGAAAAATGGGGTGAATAGGGAGGATGGGAGGATGGGAGAACAATGGGAGGATGGGAGGACAAGAGGAGGACAAGAGGACACAATGGGAGGATGAGAGGACAAGAGGATGGGAGGACAATGGGAGGACAATGGGAGGATGGAAGACAGGAGGACAGACAATGGGACATGGGACATGGGACATGGGACACGGGACATGGGACACGGGACATGGGACACGGGACATGGGACAATGGGACACAGGACAACAGGACACGGGACACGGGACACGGGACACGGGACACGGGACACGGGACACAGGACACGGGACATGGGACAATAGGACATGGGACAATGGGACAACAGGACAACGGGACAACGGGAAAATGGGACAACGGGACACGGGACAACAGGACAAACAACAGGACAACAGGACAATAGGACAGTGGGACAGTGGGACACAGAACCATGGGACATGGGACACAGGACACGGGACACAGGACATGGGAGATAGGAAATCAAATAATTGGGAGGAAGTGTATGAGTCAATAGCATGACACAAACAGTTTGACTGAAGGTTACCTGGGACACTGGCTTGCATCCTGCTGGCCGAGGCACGAGGCCACGGGATCGCAAACCAGTGTCCCAGGTAACCTTCAGTCAAACTGTTTGTGCAACATCCCATAACTAAAACAAAACTATATAATGTAAGAAATTATTGATTTGTTATAATTAAATAATATGTAGACACAGTGAGACAAGGCACTGAAGGTGCCTCCAGCAGAGCACGAAGTGCTCTGCTTGCTTCCTGTGCCGAAGGCACAATGGGCTTGGGCTAGTTCAAATATTCATGGGCAATTGGAACGCAACAAACGACGAGGACGACGACCTGATTGACGCGCTCATCATGAAGTGCCATCTGTCCGGGCTGGCTGCTCGACTACTGGACTCTGCCGGGGCCTGGGGTAGCATGGGGTAACCGTTCGGTAGCTGACTAGTGCAACTACACGAGCTACACGCTCATTCAGCAGTAACGAGGAACGATTTCTATTAGCTGAGTAGTACATACATGAACCTTGTCGGTAGAAGACATGGTACTGTAAGTGGCCGGACTAGCATTACTATGTAGTACTACCTAAACTTTAAAGGTAGCGGGAATTACTTAATTCTACTTTGGCATCAAAATGCCGTAAAACCAAGTTCTTTCTTAAAGCTCAACTCTTCATGAGACCTAGAGAAGCAGAATTCACGGTTACCCCTCGCCGACTTGTATATCCCCTTCTCCCGCTCAAGTACTTCTGTTCAGGCGTATTAATTGCAGTCAGTTCTCTGGCTTCTTAACTGCAGTTAGAGTGAACTGAGGCCATACAGGGGACCTGAAGCTGCTCGTCAATCTCTAACCGCGATGCAGAACTCTGAACAGGAGTACATCATCGAACCTCCGCCTTCCAGTGGAAATTACTCATCTAGTACGAACTGTGAGTGCCACAAACAGTCGTTTTAGTTGCCTCACTGATTCAATTCACCAAGATTCCCGAACAAATTCTGGCTCGCTTTTTTCCAGTTCCCCTTTGTTTAACCAGTCTCAGTTTGACATCGTTCTTCGGCGGCAGCGTGCTCATAAAGAAGGAAAGCCCAAGTTTACAGCTGTTCCCTCGAGATTCCTGAACCTCACCAATGACTTTGAGTTTGCCGGCTGGGGTTCTATCTCTCATCTCAAGCTTACACCTGAAGATATCGGTGAAGGTGAAGCCAAACAGAGTTTTTTCCAAGACCAGCAAGTTCTTGGGCAGTTTACAGCCAGTGCGCTGGCAGCCAATGACATACTTGGCGGTATATTCTATACTCTTCCAAGTGTTATCGCTGTTGCCGGTGTCTAGTGAGCTATCCGTCAGTTAACATCAATTGGACACCGTTTACCACCAATCTTTCCAGCTCTCCTATTTCGCTCTTTGTGGCTGGATTAACATTATTTCTCTGGCGTCCTATCATGGAGGAAATGGCTTCTGCGCTACCGATTAGCGGGGCTCCTTATACCTACCTGTACGTTGTCTGTCCTTCTAGACAGAAAATTTCGTGACGCAACTATCACCAGGCTTAATGTATCAACAAAATCTGTAGCTCTTCTTGGAGCGGCGCTACTTCTTCTCGATTTTGCAGCGACAGCAATAGTTTCGGCTGCAACTGCGGCATCATATCTTGCAGGCGAAGTCTCGCTACCCTTTCCAATTTATATTGGCACTGCCTTTGTTTTCGTGCTGTTTACTTTCGTCAGCCTTTCGGGCTTGAGAGAAAGTGCTCGCGTAGCAACTGGTGTGCTGGCGATGCACGTGAGTTCCGCTATTTATTGTTCCATCTTCATGCTTCTGATGATCCGGTGGGAGAAAGGCTGTGATAATGATCATGCTTATTATAGCCTCTGCTATTGCTTGGGGCCGAGCCGGGTTGGCTCAGCTTGGTTCCAACTGGTCATTGGGGCAGGTTGGATTGTCTCCTACGGTTATAGCCCGACAGGTGTTCAATGGCATATGTATAGGGATGCTTGGACTGACTGGATTTGAATGTGGGTGATTCTACCAGTAACATACGGTCGTGCAGCGTATAATATCGCATAGGCGCACCCGCATATACAGCAAAGATGAAGAAGAACTGCTATCCTAAGGTTCTGCGCAACTTGCATTTATCTGCGCTTGTCCTGAATAGCGGGATGATGCTCCTCATTGTGGCGTTGTTGCCCCTCGACGTGGTTGAAAGTGGCGACAATATCCTCAGTTTATTAGCTCAAAGGGTGAGTACGCTTGTCATTTTTGACGATTTTGCGTGCTGAGGTACATGGCTAGGTTGCAGGGCGGTGGTTACGAATAATGGTCGTAGTGGACGCTGTTGTTGTACTCTGTGCGGGTGTACTCACAGGTTCGTGAACCAGACTCACGCGTTGTACTGCATAGTCATGTTATATCTCAAGGAATCTTGAGCGCATGCGAGCTCTTTGCTGAGCTATCATACGATCGCGTCATCCCTCACATTTTTCTTGCCAGACTGCCGGCGACAGGCGCCCCCTATGTCACAGTCTTTTCATTTATTGCATTTAGTGTTTTAATATATGCAAGCACGGGTGCTAACCTGATTGTGATATCCCAGATGTATGTCTCATATTTCAGCGGTATCTGATGTATTTGACATGAAACAGGTTTACGATGGTGTGGTTGTCCGTTATGGCGCTCTTCCCGGTGTCTCTGATACTCCTCCGTTTCTCACGACCTCGACTTCCGCGTGGGTCGCAATGCTCACTGCTGATCGTTGCTGGTGCTGTAGGTGTCACTATCACAGTAGCGGGAGGTAACATTGCCATCGATCCTACCATAGCAGGGTAAAGCCTCTACATCCCGTCGCGACATTTGTCGACGCTAATTTACTGCTTTAGCTGGTTTGCTCTATACTTCAGTGTCCTTCTCGTCCTGTTCTCCATGTCGCAAAATAAGGTCACTATACTGCGGTGGATATACTGGGAGTACGACCAGCTTCCCTGGCTACATAGACTGCACTTTACCAAAGGGTGGGGTGACGGTCTGATCCGGCTTATGAGAAGCATGCGTAGGCAGGAGGTTTGTTTGCTGGTTAAAACCGACGAGGTACGGGCATCAGACTAAAGGTGAACGTTTACTAAAACAAGCCTGAAGATCAATGATCTATTCAACATGATTCTTTATGTCCGGCATAATGAAGAAACGGCATGTCTGAAGATAGTGCACTTTCATAATGGAGATATACCTTCCGAGATGGAGGCCAATGCTAAGAGCAAGCCTATCTTGCTACCTTTGAATGTTGGCGATGCTGACAGTGTGGTTTCTTAGTTCTGGACGAAGCCTTTCCTGAAATCACCGTTGACCTGGTGCGCGCACAACTTCCTCGCTCAGTACTTAAATACTCAATTCTTGAACTCCCAGATGCTTGTTGAGGGCAAATTTGACCCAAAAAATCTAGCTGCCCTAGCGCACCATTTGAAGATTCCGCGGTCCCTCATGTTCATGAGCAGCCCAGGTCCGAATTTCCAGTACCCTGTAGCAGAGCTTGGAACACGCATTATCTCAATCTGAGCACCACGTACATCGCATCGATCCCATCGGTTATCGACATGAAATTCGCGCTGTATGGTAGGGCGCCGCTCTTTTGATATCGAGCAACTTCTTGTGTTACTATGGGCTTTGTCTCCAAGTGTAGACGCTGTATAATTGTTTTTACAAGCTTACATAGATCTAAGTTAATGTTAGGCCCGTCTGTAGAATCTGTAGGCTTTATCTATGGCTACGTCGTAGTGATTGAATCATCTGGTCCCTTCGTACATAATATATTTAGTTGTTGTCGTGCTTGTTGTCGTGACGTATTTGGCTTTGACAATCTTCAAGTCGCAAACTTGGTCCTTGGACGCCGCTTGCAGGGAAAGCTACTGTACTAAGAAATTAACTTCCATCGCACTGCACAGGGATGTCGTTCGCGGCTGGCTCTCTCGCTGGTGCACTTGTAATGGGTGGTGTAAGTGTCGTTCCCCAATGCAGGAATTCGTCTAATCGTCCCACCACTTTAGATTTACCATGGGTTTTCGAACTTGATGCAAACAAGGTGAGTATCAATCCATGTGCAAGAGCTAAAGGCGAACGGATTCATTGTTCATGCCTCAGGACTGCCCAGCACCGTGCCGAGTTCGTCTACATCCCTCCTCTTTACCTCTAACGCCTACTGAACATATTCTACAGCATTCATACCCTCTCGGAACGTCTCGTTAGCGCCTCGACTACAATTCCCTCTCCTCCGCCTGCGTCCACGCGCATAACGTACCATCCGCTTACATCGCTCATTCAGTCCAAGTGGAACAACGAGGTCGCTGGTTTATTCGGAACTGTCTGCCAATGGGAGCAGCGTGCAGTGGAGTTGGGGAAGAAAGTTCTGTATGGTGGTGACTCATGATACCGCCAAGCTAGGCATTAGACTAATCGAAAGATTAATATCTTCGGTCGTTCCTAGAATCTTGACTCCAGCAAACGGCCTCCACTATGCACCACTAACCGCCAGCGACAGCCCCGTGCTCCATTACATTGCATGACTACGAAATTTCTTTCCTTCCAACATACACATTTTGATTCTAGCTCATAAACTCGGAATCTAAGTAAATTATCATCTTCCATACCCTTGGTAATATTGTTGAGTATTATTCCCTTGTGAAGGTGGCGGAGGCGGAGGCATGGTCTGGTACTGTGACCCCTGCCGGGTCGGCTGTGTCTGTGCTGGATAAGGCCCCCGTGACGGTGACTGTGGCGGAGCTTGCTGGCCGTATGTCTGTGGATTCGCAGCGTACTGGGGTCGCTGTGTAGGTGGTGGCGGTAAGGAAAAGGAAGACTGCGTGTGCGGAGCAGAAGGTGGAACTGGAAGGCGCGCGCGGGGTGGAGAAAACTGAGATCCGAATGCTCCCAGACTTGCATATGGGTCGGGTGGCGGAGTTGGCGATATTGAATTTGTATATGTTGGGCGTGCGGGTTGTGGTGGTGGAGGTGGAAAATTCAACTGTGCCTTGGTTGACTGGTGTGGAGGTGGCGGGAATGCGGAGGAGTATGACGCCTGTGGCGGTTTCGGTGGGGGAGATACCGGATTCTTACTTCCTTGCAGATTCATGGATGCGAAGGATGAGTTCAGAGATGGGAGAGAACGCGGTGGTGGTGGCACGGGAGGTTTCTCAGCGGGCGTAGGTGGTACCGCAAGCCGCTGCTGGAGGTCCGCTTGCCCAACAAGTCTGTCACGTTCCGAACGACGGTCGGTGATAAAGGACTTAACACTCAGGGCGAGCGTCGCACTCAGTTCAGTGAGTTGTTGGTAGAACTGCAGTCCTTTCCTGAACCGGATTTAGTCAGTAAGGATGGAACGGGGAAAAGAGTACACATACGTCAACCCATCCCTGACCTCCATATACCCGTCTCTCGCATTCGAAAACCTACGTACAGTGTCCTTCTTCCGCCGCTCGCGTTCATCCCACTTCTTTGCACCAGGTCCACGCCCAGCAAGGTCTCGTAAGCTCTTCCATAGTCCCTGGATTTCCTGCAATACGACTTGCTGATTGTGCACAGTAGCTACAAGGCGCTGTTGGTATGGCCGGAACTTCTCAAGTTCTGCGGTGAACAGCGACTGCTCGGCACCAGGGTTACGGCGGTTCAAAAGTAACAGGTGCGAAACGTCGTCAGCTTGAATCTAGATGGAGACGGTATCAGCCAAGTCCAAAAGTTATCATGCACGTTACTTTGTCTTTCAGCTCTTTGAGTACTTCTCCTCGCTCATAAGCAATTTTCTTCAACCGTCCAAAACGCTCATCAATTTCTTTAGTGTACTTGCCGATTTTGGCTCGCTCCTTCTCATCGTGCGCCTCGGTACCGATGTCAAGATCAAGCAGGCTTTCTGAAGGGGCATCACGCTGGGCACTAGCGCGGAAGACATCCTCGACGCCAGGTGATAGCAGTAGTCGAATGTCAGATTTGACTGATTCCCAGAGTGTCGATACCTGTTGGTCTGACACAGCAGCCGCGTCTAAGGCGCCTGTATGAGATTTTAAGTCTTGCCGGATAGACTTCGTAAGAGACGCAGATGGCTCCTGTGTCCACAGGTGGTCGTACTTGACCCGCATCGTCTCGCACTCTCTCGATTCAACATCCAGGTCCCTCGAAAAACCATCCAGCTCTGCTTTGACAGCCTCTTTGAGACGACCCATCTCGCGCAAGAGCGTTTCGATACCCTCCCTGTCCTCCATGACGTTGATATCCTCTCTCCACCGGCGTACATCCAGGGGAATCTCTTCCTCCCCACCCAAGCTACCCTCAGCCATCGCCTTGAATCTTGCAAGTCCCTCCTGCACTCCCATCGCTTCCAGTGCGCTGCGCGCCTCGACCTCAGCGCTTTCTGCGTTCTCGACTTCTTTGCGCACAAGCTTCGCCTTCTCCTCTGAGTACACGCTGGCGCTCTCGTGCACACTCAGCGGGATCAACTTGATGAAGATGTCCGAGCCTATAACATTCTGGACATCTGGCGCGCGATACACCTCTTGAATGGAGATAGGGGTGGCGACAACTGCTTTCTCGATGGCGGGCAGTGCGTCGGCTGATGGAAGGACAGCATTGTAGATGAGATCATTTTCACGCTGCGCTTCTGTCTTGCGGTCTGTGCTTAATTGGAGCTGCACCTTCGTGCGTTCGGTGATGGAAGGCCCGGCATCTGCGGGAAGCGTAGGTGATACGTGGGCAAATAGAGCAGAGAATGATGCAGCAGAGCGATTGGCTTCTTTTGCTAGAGATTCAGCGAGGGTGAATCGTACGAGGGCCTCGCCGTGAGCCCCAGCTTTATCGTCAACTTGACCGCGATAGTATTGTGCGATAGAGCCAAAGTGTTTGGATTTGATCTGGGCGACACGTCAATGCTAGTATCAGGCTTCGTAATATAAACATACCTGGATAAGAGTGACCCAGTTGCGATCGAATATGCCCTTACCCATGAACTCCTTTACTTCCTCGTTCAGGGAGGTGTACATGGATGCAGACTGGGAAGCAATCTTGGCCACCAGGGTGGGCGCCTTCTTCTCGCTGATGCACTTTTCTAAAAATACTTCCGTAGCTTGCGCCATGATGACTCCTACCAAAAATTTGATCACCTCCCGGCTGAGGTCAGTCGAAGGGGCATGCAAGAAGTTCTCGTTGACATAGGTGAGCATGCCTGCACATGTTCGGAAGTAGTAGAAGGCGAGTTTGAGCCCTTCTGGATCGGACCTGTTCTGAGAGGCGGCAATGGCGGAATGCGTGGCCGCGATCTGAAACAGAACCGAGGCCTTCTCATACGCAATAGACGTCTGCGTAGTCAGCTTGTTCGTCAAAGCGTCATGCCACGGAAAGTTGACGCGAATCTCTGGGAAACGCATCTCGAGGATCTCGAGTTGCCCAAAGTACTTGTAGAGGAGATCGCGACCTGGGAAGCAAGGCAGTGAGTACCCTGAGATCATGATTGCTTGAGCGACGAACCTGTCATATCGCTGCCTGCGCCTTTGACAGCGTCTTGTCGACAGCGTTGCAGCGCTTGGCACTCCTGCGCATAGTTATCTGGGTTCTCGCCGAAAGACTTGGCAATGAGATTGCGTATGGGGCCTGTCCAATCGACGTCCTCCGTCGTCTTCTTCGGAATCGCTATCATGGGCGACTGGTGCGCCATTTCTGAACACTATACCTTTTATTTGCCTTGAAGTTGCACTCAGAGCCTGATGCAACCTGACCAGAGCACTGCGGTCGTGTTCCAGCAAGTAGGCTATGATTCCGTGAAACTGCGCATACTAGTATGGCTCACGGAATCCGGAAGCAGTTTCCGAATCTGTAGATGTCAACCCCCGTGAGAGGGGTTGGTTCCTTGCCGTTTCCGCCCGTCGTGCTTGGGTTCAAGACCGTCATCTCACAACCAGAGCTATGTCGTCTGAAAAAGCATCATCCAGCGAGAACATTGTTAGCCAGAAGGTGAGTTATATCGTCAAACACAATGTTTGAAGCTAATCATCCTCAAGTATGACAGGTGTCGTATGTGCTTTCATTTTCTGAGTTGGAGGAGTTTACTGACTATGTCCGCAAGTGGCCGATTTCTTGGTGAAGGCGTGAGTCTTGACTTGCATTTTGTAGTTGGCATGAATTACTGAGAATTGTGCAGTGGTGTAGGTTTCAGCGTAGGAGTTGTTGGATCCGTCATTCTTTTCCGAAGTCCGCGTCTTACCTACCTTATTTTCTCTACACATTCTAACCCGAAATATTACAGGACGGACATGGCCTATTGCCCTTTCAACGGGCTTCGGCATGGGTGCAGCATACGCAGACTGCGATCGCTCATTCAACCCCGCACGCGTCTCGGGGACGCGGATAATATCTCAGACAGACGAGAGCAAGTGATGTCGTTCGACTCATTCAGTAGTATCGCAGAGTGCTCTGGACGGTGGCATCCTCGAGGACCTAGCATTATTTTACATAGAGTGCCTTTGCACATCCTTCCGCCTCCCATAGATCACAACGCGAATGTTCATTCTCCTTTTGACCAGTGTTCGCTCCCAGCGTTGGAGTTTTCGGGCAGTAATTCATTGATTGTAGAAGAGTGTTGTGGTGACTCCCTAGGCAACGTTCTTCGAGGTTTTCCAAGCACAAGCCGCTCGTAGAGCACGTCTGCAGGCAATTCAAGGTAAGCTGAGGCACCGGAACGTTTGCTGAACGAAGACGAACATGCTGTTGCCCCCATGATAGGAACGGTGACGATGATGGTGCGGAGCCTGCGAGCTTGAGGAGGCAGCTTCTGTGCCATTGCTAGCTCACGGACAGTAGAAGGTTGCTACTTAATTGTAAAATAAGATGCTGGCTCGTCCGGAAGGAAGGTTAAATTTCTCTGAAGATATATCTTCGGGGTCCTTGACGATTGAACAGGGTGTCAAGAGTCCCTTGACACGCTAACTGTACTAGCTTGTCTCTCATCAACAACATCCTGCCTTTTTCTGCGCGAGGAACAATGGCTTATGTTGCTGTGGAAGAGGATGATGTGAGTGGCATGGTGCTATTATTGTTGTGTTCAACAGAATTCCTGATGCTGCACTGTGGGTTATAGCGACTAGAAGAAGGACCAGAGGGTTTCGAGTTCAAATGTGAGCGCGTTTGCCTTGAAGTGGCGATCAGATATTCAATCCCGAGCAGCTTTCCTTGGAGCGGACGCGAGAGGAGACCAACGAACGCAGTCTGCCACTCCAAACCTTGACAGAGGTACGTCGAAAATTCGTCATAACAACATCCCCTGACGTGTACCCAAACACAGGATATCTCACAGACCACACCACGAGCAAAGGTCCATCTGGATTCTGGACAGTCGAATATTACCAACCATACTTTGACGTTGATACGTCGACCGTCTTGAAGCGATGTTACACGACGCTCCTCCCCACTTCACCCTCGTACCTGACGGTTCTTACACCCACTGCCGATCTATATGGCCCTTTTTGGATCCCAACCACGCTTATACTAGCTCTATTTCTTTCTTCGTCTCTCGCAGCAAGCATCGCTAGCTACCTTTCGGCCCCAGGAGTTGCGTATGAATATGACTTTGGCCTGCTTAGTCTTGCGGCAACGATCGTATACATATACGCATTTGCAGTACCTATTCTGCTGTGGCTTGCACTGCGCTACTTCGGCGTTGGCGAATGGGGCGTGGTAGAAGCACTTGGGGTCTGGGGTTACTCACTATTCGTCTGGGTACCTATTTCGGTAAGCGCATGAACTTTCGCAACTAGGTGCACCGTTTTGTTGAATACCCGTCATCCCATAGATATTATGTGTTGTTCCTGTTCCCATTTTGCGTTGGGTTCTTGTGGGCATCGCGTTCTGCTCATCAGGGTACTTCCTCGTGGCGAACGTGTACCCAATATTGGCGATGGTATGATCATATTCCTTGCCTGATCTAGTTTTGATTATTGATGACTCGCTCAGGCCGACGCGAAAGCCACTCGCTTGCTGATAATTGTTATCGGCGCGCTGCACGCAGGGTTAGCGTTGACATTCAAGGTGTTGTTCTTCAGCTACTACGTTGTGCACGAGATCGGGCCTGGAGCGGACCCCGTACGGTGATGTCTCGAAAATGATCCTGTGCTGGTCTTGGTCAGTTTGATCGTAATGCATAATTTCTATTTTCACAAATATCCAACGATGCATGAAACGACCAAGAGCAAACCGAAAGAGCATTGACGGCTACCATTCAATCTTCGACGTCAACCCTGCCACGCATTAGCGAGAGATCGGAACACATCGTAAACGCCGTGAGCTGGTCGTAGCATGAAAGCAGACATGTAAGGATTGACATCGATGGAACCAAGACAGGTTGGGAAATGTCGCTTCCTTACGGCGACTTCAGCTAGCATTCGTATCCTTAAATACGTCAATCCTGCCACGTATTAGGGATATCTAGATTACATTCAACAGGCAATGGAGTAGACAATTGAGCCAAGAGAGCTCGGGAAACGTCGTCCTTCACGGCAAGCGGGACCACAGGCAGTATTGTGCCAATGCAGACAGTCATACGTTTGCCTTAGAGCGCTGGTTATCTATGTGCTTGCTTCAACAATTTCAGTTCTTTTTTCCTCGATTGGCTTTCCAACAACAGCGACTACACGCGCAATATTAATGATGTGTGATCCAGTCAACTTGAATGGAGCAAAGGGCAACGACGATCGAGATACTTGACTCCTCGGGGGGAGAGCAAGGGCAGATATAGATAGGCTGGAAACGTAACGTCAAGGTATCAACACATCGTAATGTCGGTAGTACTGCAGTGTGGTTGTACATAACATGAAAGCAGACAGTAGAGAATGATGACCTCTTATGAGATGATGCTATATCCATGGTTGGAGTAGATGTAGATGGAGTGTGATTTCAAGTAGGAGCACTATTACGTGCTGCCTCCTGTGCCGCTTCTGCCCAATCCTTCTCGCGCACACCGAATTCAACTCCCAGTACAGTCTTGTTGAAGTTCGTCAAAGTCAGTCCGTAAGGTTGGCGAATGCGCGACTCCCAGCCTTCTGGGAGCCGCTCATGGAGAACAACGCTACGCAGGTCATCCACACGACCTCCAAAAATTGTGAGCAGTGTCGAGGAACTGATGCGAACGTTCAGAAAGTGCTTGAAAAGGATGACGTCATGACATACTTGGAGCTACCGAAGATCTTGTGGAAGAAGCTCAGCGAGAACTCCTTGTTTACTGCACGCGCCACTGCACGACGCTTGCCGAGAATCCTGGAGAGATCTTTGGAGGTAAGGATATCCTTGCCATCCTTGCCCTTGCCGGTAGATGCCGCAAGTAACTCCTCTATGAAAGGTATGTGCTTCACTGATTGGTTTGGTTCAAGGGCAGCATCAAGGCCTGAAGACAAGTTATTCGATATGCATGAACAAGGCATTTGTAGTAAATCACTCACGGAAGAGAGATGCGTCGTGTTCAATACCATTGTGCAGGTCGAGTTCTGCCAGATCAAAGGTATCATTGCTGTAGCTCTTTTTGAGCATGCGAGCGGCATAGTGCGGTACATAAGAGCAGAAGGAAGGAGCGAAGTTATAAGTCGCCCGAATCTGGTGGTTAAGATCGATGAAAGAGATCCCACGGCCGCTGCGTGAGAGGATGCCTTTCATCATGCCACACCGCCAGTGCTACTATTAGCCTAAGCGCTTAAAATATTGTTTGCAGATCACTGACCGTGATTGGCCATCGCATTGAGTGCGGGGCATGAGCAGCGGGAGTCACCCTCCTGAGGAGGCCTAAACTCAGGCCAGTGCCCTCCATAGCCTGGGTGGCCCTCAGGCGTGACATGTCCAATGCGGCGCTTCCTGTTCACGAGATTGAGGAGCGTGAGGAGCACATCCCAAGATATGATCCCAACATCGTAGAAAAGGCTGGATATGCTGGAGAGGAAGCCCATTTATTCCCCTTGCGTTGAGGGATACCTAGCCTCTTTGTGAGCAGGAAGCCAAGTCTCATGAAGGCCTTTAATATATGTCTAAGGGTTCCGCAAACTTGGTTCCGCATGGGGAGGAGTATTCCCAAGGTGTCACAGAGAATATCAATGTAACGGCCACGAGGCGAGTTCTGGCGACTTCCAATTGTCCTTTTACCGACCCGGAGTGTAATACTATGCACATACCTGGCTATTCGGTCCGCAAAGCTACCGAAGCTTTGCCAGTATTTGTCTGTGCAACTGTCAATTTCCGGAGTTCTAGCTGATACTAAGTTCGTGTTTACTCCGCGGTGTTTCTGTGTCAGTCGCTTAGGTTTCTTTGCTTTTATTATTATATCTAGTACTATGGTTTTTACTTTTTGTAGCAATCGTATTCGAGCCTCCTTGATTGTGTCAACTTGAAGGAGTTGAAAAGTCTCTGCGCGCACTTGGCGGCGAGGTGGATTAATGATTCCGAAATGAATCGCTATCTAGGAGTACTATCCCTTCCGGTGCAATCGGCACCCCACAGAAATTGGCAGGTCACACATGGAAAGCGTGACATTTTTGTTACAATTGGTCACATACAGTCACACAAAAATGTCCAGGTGTCGGGTAATGCAGCCTGCCGGAATATCCCGGCACCATGCGTCCAGCTGAGCGGTTGCGCTGTTCGCCGTTTGTTCCTCTCCGCCACGACATCGAGTTCGTCGTTCATTACACTCCTCACTCGCTCGAACAGTTTTCTTTATACCCGCCCACCACTCCCTTTAATTTTATCGCACCGTAATTCTACTCCTAGTAATTTGTTTAGTCATACGTCTTATAGTCTGCTCTATCAATTGCACTTTACCGTCCCAATTATTGCTACTCGAAGAGTCATTAGACACGATCGAATTCGTAAGCAGTTGTCCCGTCCACCCAGCGTCTCCACCTGCTTGCGTCTCATCCCGAGCTAACGCTCGGCCCAGCCCAACCCAATAGATCGTGTCACCGACTCTTGAGTCGTGCTTGTCGTGCTCGTCCGACGTTGAAATTTAAAACCACGTATCTTAAGTGACACTTGCCGCGAACGGGTTGAGCGACCTCCCGCCTCCAGCGCTTGAAACCTAAGTAACAACCTTGTTGGCTAAAATTTGTTCACCTTTAGTCCCACAACCCCTCAACAACATCATTATCCCGATTTCTCCATTAGTATCGCGGCCAGCGTACCAAGGTTGGCGCCAGCCCATCGGACCCTCTCGATGGCACGTTCCTGGACAGCCAGTACGGGCGACACAAGACCCCGGGGCCCCAACGCAGCTGCTAACACTTTATTAGAAGGAACAACTGCCTTCCTTATTCTATGTGTCTACCGCTGACATAGCCATCCTCGTCCTCTTCTACCTGCCTCTACATCTCTCGCGATATTGGCTCCAACAACCAGCCTGGCTCCCGCAGTGGTGCAGCCTTCAATCTTCAGCTGTCTGCACTGAGTCTGCAAGCACTGTCCTGAATGTTTCCCCTCCCACCTTGCAGTACCATCCCCCAAGTATCTACTCGTTGGACTTGACATGTTTGCTGAGCTTTCTCGCTGCGATATTTGATCAGTCCAGTGACTTATTTCCCCCTATTTCCCCCCGTTCGGGAGCCTACCATCGACGTCTCGACAGCCGACACCGAAGAAGGTCGGGCCGCTCTCGCAATCGAATTAAGGAAGGCCCTCCGCAATGATAGGTCTTTCTATCTCATAAATACGCAGGCCCAGGTGAGGCAATTATCTCAGGTATGTGGAATATATATCACAACTCGACTCACACAACTCGCATGTTCGACATTGCGGATGTACCCTTCTCGGCCGTCAGTTTACAATATTAAGTGAAACCGGGTCACCCGAAGGGTATAGATTCCGACAGTACGCGGTGCGTGCAGTTGTGTCCTACCTGAAACATGGCGTTTATTCAATCGAATCCAGGATGTAGATGGGGGATTCCGCACCCAGCAAGAGCAATATAGCCGCGAGTAGAATGCAGTTACATTTCATCGATACTAGCCTCACGTCCTTCCAGTCAATTATTATGTGAATAGGCGAAGTCACCCAGAGGCCGTCCGTCCTCTCCTCCCAGAAATTGCAGCGTTTACCAAACACAACCATTAAAATGTGTTGCATCTCATCCTGAGGCGAGGATATGTCTTTTTGCGCTCGAGGGTGACCTCCTGATAACAGATTTTCTTCCAGGCTTATCGCACGTGGCTTCGAGCTACCCGAAGAAACGCTAGTCAACAACCATGACTGTGACGCTGCTAATGAGATGCCCGGGATATCAATTTTTGAAACAGCCCGACCCGTTGCTGACTTATTATTGAACAGTCAAGTTCATCAAGTAGTATGCACTTCCTTCAATTTCTACTCTTCACAAGTTCGTATGGTTTAGCCACCCACGAACAGAGGCAGAAGAAGACAACAAATAATGTTTGGCTGATGGGACACACGGGTGAGTACCTCACTCATGAAGTGAAAAGTGTGCTCACCAGTGTTACTACAAGACCATGGAAGCGTTACGATTTTTTGGAGTCAGCCTGTCGATGCAGTGCAAGTTCAGAACCATGAAGGCAAATGGCGCTGGGTCCGTTATAAGGAAAATGCGCTCGTAAGTCATCTCCGCGTTCGATATTTCAACGCGCAAGATAACGAGGGGGTTACAGATTGTTATCATAGGCGATGCAATGAACTTCCTTACGGGCGGGCATGTCCTACTTCTCCCTGGTCAATGACGATGTCAAGTTGGTACTGATGGTTCAAAGTCCAGTCTTGCAGAGAGTTGGAATTGAGAGACGTTGCGGTGATAGCGATGCGCCAACGGTGGGACATTTGAGGAGAGCGAAGATGGTTGCCCATGGCCAATGGGGAAAGAAGAAGGACAAAGAAGAAGAGGTCATTTACGGGTTGCTGGTTAAGCGCCACGACTGAATTTTCAATGTATAATCCCTATCCTTGGGCGACGAACATAGACTGCTGTCAATATAATGCAGTAAAATGCTTGCCTTATGATTCTCGTATTCCATCAGCTTGTAAATATTGTTAAATATTCTGGATAGAAGACACAGACGTACTATGTGAATCAGGTATGCACATTTAATCCCGAACGACGATGGCAAATGTTTAGAATTCAGCCAAACTGATTGCTTACAGCGCCTTGTAGTCAACTTCTATTCTTCCAATGATTACGATGAATTTGATGATCAGTCTATGAGAACAGTTTCTTGTAAACCTTCTTCTCCCTCTCCCTCTTCTCCCTCTTCTTCTGCCTCACTTTCGCGAGCTCGCCCACAATCGCCGGGTCTTCGGGTGCAAGTTGACTAGCAGCAACAAGGTCCGCTTCAGCTTCATCTTCCTGCTTAAGAATGACATGTGCCGCCGCCCTGCGATACAGGGCCTTGGCTTTATCTGGGTTGCTCAGCTGCAGACGGTCCAAAGCTCGCGTGGCATTCTTCACTGCAGTTTCGGCAGCTGCGGGTTGCGTGCGCAGCGCAGCGAGTGCCGAGTTTAATAGAAGGGGCGCAAGAAGCGAGTCATAAGAGTCCTTGAGCTCCTGTGGAGAGTTTTCCGGCAATACGGGGTGCACGTCCAGGTACCTTATCGATTCTGACATTTTGTTGATGCTGCGAACGAAGGATGTTTGCGGGATGACTCACTAAGGTACTTTTTGAGTGCGAGTTCTACTTGTCCATCCTTGAAGAGCTTGTTCCCGAGCTCACGGATTTCACGTGCAATATTCAGCGCAACTGCGGGATTCTGCACGTCGGAATCATCGTCTTCAGGGTAATCCTCGTGGTCATCGCCAATGGTTGTCTCGGAACTGGTGAGGGAAGGGTCATCCGGGGAGAGAACGCCGCAAGCAGAGATAATGACAGGAGCAGCGGGCACATCTCCAGACGCAATAGGGTAGTTTTCAATTGTACGGACTACGCATAGTAAGCAATCCGTCAAAAAGTAAGAGGCGCGTGGACAATATATCTTACCTAATGATTTGCCCTTGATCACTTCACCAAAAACCACGTGCTTGCCATCAAGATGGGGGGTTTGGTTCACGGTGATGAAGAATTGCGAGCCGTTAGTGTCTTTTCCTGCGTTTGCCTGAGAATCCGATCAAAACCAACATTCCTCGATGGAAAATAAGGCGGAATTCTACCATGGACAACAAGAAAGGTTTCGTGTGTTTCACAGGGAACGCTTCGTCTTCGAATTTCTCGCCGTAGATTGATTCTCCCCCGGTGCCTATCTGGACAATGAGTTTGTGACATCTGGATTTGACTCTGGGACGCACCATTGCCCGCCGTGAAGTCACCACCTTGACACATGAACCTGGTGCACTGCATTAGCCTTCGTTGCAATATCAGGGGACTGGAAGCTTCTACCCCTTGATCACGCGGTGAAAGCCAGATCCAGCATAGCATAGCGGCTTGCCAGACTTTCCGATACCCTTTTCACCCGTACACAATGCACCTGGAAGGGTTATAAATCTGACATGATTGATCGCGTATCTGAAAACTCACGGAAGTTTTCAGCTGTCTTGGGTACTAAGTCTGCATACAGCGAGAACACGATGCGCCCAATGGGCTTACCATCGATGGTGATGTCAAAGTAGGCGATAGGGCGCTCTGCAGATGCTTCAGACATGTAGCGCTCAATGACAATTCGAACAAACGAATTCAAGGACAATTAGTTGTGTCTCGCCAGCGCTTGTAAGTCACGAGTTGGCGAAGTTATAAAGGTCAGATCGGATGCTGTAAGACTGACGAACGATTGTTTCTGGCAGTTTCGAGAACTGTCATGAAGGCCGATATCATCCCATCAATTTATTTCTGTTTGATCAAAACAAGTGCGAGAGCTTGCCGCATTCTATAGACGTTCTAGATGCATTCAGACGAGTGCAGTTCGTATAGACCTTGCACCGTTTGCTACAACGCACTAGGTCAAGACTACCACATGATCAATGGACAGCGTTAGCGGCTGATTTTTGTTGAGGAATTGTATATGATGATGGAACGAACGCAAGCAAGCCAAGTTGAAGCTGACCAATTGTCGATTACCTAGTGCTCGACGACAACTATGATGTTTGGGCATTATGATCGTAACCGTCCGTGGATGGCCACTGGCCAGCGCTCAGAATCGACTACTTACCCGGTGTAGAAGACGACGACGAGGCTACAGAGTATAGACTTTCTATGAATGACTCAGAATGAGTGATAGTACGGACCGCGGTACGTGTTCCTTTGCTAATCATTCAAGCTCCCTAGGTGAAGCTAAAATACTTATTTCCCTGTGTTTTTGTAGAAGCTCAAACCTGGCTTGAGGCTTGCGCAAGCGAAAATTGGACCTCGGATACATCCACTCCGACCTTAACTTGCTCCTTGCGCACAGGCCCGTGCTCTGACATGGGTTATTGGCACTCTTGAAGGGATAGAGCGAAGGAGTCAGGTTTAAAATTTCATGCGTGCCCACAAGAGACGGCTGTATACTCTCATCACTGTTGCAAGTAATGTACAGGTCAACTGATATAGCATCGAGGTCTAAAAATACTCTTTATCTACATGGCCAGTGCAATTAGAGCTGGTGACTTCGGACGGACACTGTCACATGGATTAAAGGGTAGCATTAATGCAGACCCTTATCTTTGGCTGAATAGCTAACCTGGGCGTGGCTCTTACCCTGCCGCTACTGGAATCTAATGACTTTCAAGGCTTCCGGCGGTGCTTTGCCTGATCTTTATGAGGCTTCAATCGCAGAACTTCAAGATGGTCTAGTAAAAGGAGACTTCAGTAGTGTTCAGCTTGTGCAGGTAAGTTGCTGCTTCAGCACATCTGATATAGGCTTTACTTAAGTGATCGCAGGCCTACCTTGGCAGAATCGAAGAAGTTAACCTGAAAGGTCCTGCATTGCATGCAGTCATTGAGACTAATCCGAAAGCCTTGCTACAAGCTGTGTCCCTTGACGATGAACGGAAAGACAAAGGCAGCCGTGGGCCATTGCACGGAATACCATTGTTATTGAAAGACAACATTGCTACGTTGCACAAAGAAGGTGAGATTCTTTGCGTCACATACATGCAATACCAGTAAATTGAGATCCGGATAAGGAATGAATACGACCGCAGGTACATTCTGCGCTACTGGCTGCCGTCTAGCAAATCAAAAAAAATTCCTCTATGCCAGGTTCCTACGCGCTGCTGGGTTCAGTTGTTCCTCGAGACGCATTTGCTGCAGCAAAATTACGTGAAGCTGGGGCTATATTCATAGGCAAAACAAACCTCTCCGAGTGGTCTGGTATGAGGGGCGAGTGGGGTGATCTGAAAGGACAAGTTCCCAATGGCTTCACGGAACGTGGAGGGCAAACTCATTGTCCCTACTACCCGAATGCTAGTCCATCCGGTTCAAGCTCCGGAAGTGGCATTTCGACTGCTGTTGGTCTAGCAGCGGGCTCCCTTGGCTCAGAAACTCATGGCTCTATTGTCTCCCCAAGTAGCAGGAACAATATTGTGGGCATCAAGCCTACTATCGGGCTGGTATCTCGCTCAGGCGGTAAGGTTTCCCGCGATGGCTACCGATTCTCTATCTGATGATGAACGCTAGTAATACCCATTTCTTCTCATCAAGATACTGTTGGCCCGATGTGTCGCTCTGTCACTGACGCAGCCCTGTTATTGAATATTATCGCTGGGCCTGATCCTCGAGATGAAGTTACTTTACATCAGCCTGGGATTGTCCCAGACTACATGAAAGCGCTCGACGCAAACGCCTCAAAGGTGCTCGTCTTGGAGTGCCTCGTGCCTTCATCCGTGACATCAAGACCATCGAGGAGAAGTTCAACTCATCCCTTGACGTCTTTCGAGCTTTAGGCGCAGAAATCGTTGACCCTGCAGATTTTCCAAATGCGGAAGAACTAGTAGCTTCTAAAGCGGAGAAGCGGATACTGGACGTGGACTTCAAAGTTGATCTTAACAAGTACCTATCAGAACTGGTCGACGTTCCGACAGGCGTCACCACTCTCGCTGCTCTGATAGAATTCAACAAGGGTCGTGCAGAGCTAGATCTTCCACCACCATTCTACAAAGATCAATCCCAGTATGTCAAATCTAATCTTAAGTGATGTCCTTTCACAAAAGATATCCAGATTCATCGAATCGGAAGCTACACAGGTTGACGACGCTTACTTTGCAGCACTAGCCGAGGATTTTGATTTGGGACGCACGAGGGGAATTGACGCCACTCTGGCTCAGTTCAATCTCGATGCCATAATTCTACCGACCGATGCGCTGGTATGCAAACCCGCGGCAATTGCAGGGTATCCGTTGATCTCAGGCTAGTACTTCGTATTGCGATCTTGACGTCGCTTATACTATCCAACATTTAGTGCCCCTCGGCTTTCAGCCAGAAGACGTTAAAGTACTGCCTGCGACGCCATCCCCAGTGCACATCCAAGCCCCAGGACTTCCTTTTGGAATCGTTTTCATGGGTACTGCGTATAGCGAGTTCAAGCTCATCAGCTATGCCTATGCTTTTGAGCAGGCTACTCACGTGCGACTTGAGAGAAGGGCATATGATGATGCGATTCCCAGAACCCAACTAATAGATGTTATGTTTCAGTGATTTGTACACTATATGCAGGGAATAACTGAGCTGTCTTGCGTGCCGCTCGGAAATGTTTTTCCGTTCTTAAATAGTGGAATGTGCTTTCGTATTATAAGCACTTCTCTGGTCGGATAAAGACTGGACGTAACGGGCAAGTCTTGCTGTGACCAATCTGAATCACTCGTTCATTTTCACAATCACTTATGTACATCGTACACGTACGATCATCGATCAGTATCTAGCAGACCTTAGCAGACTCGTATCTTTACATCACCGGCGCCGCTCAATTGCAGCGCTGATATAGTCAACGGTACCCGTGTTGTTTCACCTCAGTCATTCCTCACTAAGACTAAGGTGAGATACTATGATCATACTACTACTTACCGTACTGTCATTACCTTACTCGATCCTTACCAGCTGACCGTCTTCTACGTCACGGTAGTCTCTTGTTTGTCCCTCGCAGGTGCTTATAACAAATCCGAGTCCTTTCCCACTAAGACTGAGTCTCTTGCAATATTGTCTGTCTCTCGCAGTGACCTTCGTTTGTTACTGACTGAGTAGTCGCACTAGATTGTCCAGCGTCTCTCAGCTCTGCCCACTCTGGATTCCCTAGACGCCGCCAAAGCTCTCGTCGAGGCAGCTTCTCCAGTAGAAGAGACCAACAAATGGTTCAGCGCCTTCGCCAACGCCATTCACACGAGTGACATAGCTTCAGTTGTCGATCTCTTCCACGAAAAGGGTTCCTGGAGAGATGTCGTTGCCCTTACTTGGAGTCTTCGCACGCTGGGAGGAAGAAATGATATCAAACGCCTTCTTGACGCACGACTCGAGGCAACTGGCCTCACAACTCTCCGATTGAGCGAGGAGGAACGCAAAGCACCTGCTCATGTCGCGCCGCTTCCGGACTTAGTGTTTATTCGGTTCTGCTTTACCTTCGAGACATTTCATGGGAAAGGTAGCGGGGTTTGCCATCTAATGCCGAGCAGCCCGAATCCCGAAGTAACCTGGAAGGCGCATGCTCTGTTAACACATCTTGATACACTGAAAGTTTTTCCGGTTCAGGTAGTAATTTAAACACACTGCTCCCTGTACAGTGCATGCCTGTTGATATTCTTTCAAGGCTGGCATCTTTCGCAGTCGCACGGTTTTTCATGGAACTTGGGAGGAGAAACGAAGACGGGAGTTAGAGTTTGCTAATGGTGATCCGGAGGTGCTTGTTATTGGAGCTGGCCAGTGCGGCTTGCAAGTCGCTGCACATTTGAAGTACATGGGGGTGTCTACCCTAGTGATCGAACGTAACGCACGAGTGGGAGACAACGTATGTTTTCATTCTCGATATCATCTAATCTGACGCGTCTCATTCAGTGGAGAACTCGATACAAATCATTATTCTTGCACAACTCAGTTCGTAAGTCCTTTGATTGACTTGAGTTTTATCGTTCACACTCTGGCACAGATTATAATCAGACATCTTATCTGAGGCAATCTTCTGAGTCTTTCGCTAACCCATTCTTACTCATTTATTAACTTGCACAGATTCCCCTCCACTTGGCCATATTTCAGCCCTGCACCCAAAGTGAGTCTCCGAACAAGCCTCGGTAAAGTCCTCTCAATTTCCCAATCTCATTCAGCTCGGCGACTGGTTTGAAGGTTACGCTAACCTCTTGGACCTCAACGTCTGGACGTCATCTAGTGTTGTGGAAACAGTCTGGGATGACACAACAAAAACTTGGAATGTGGTCATCGATCGTGGAGGAACGTCGCATCGCTCGAAGGTTAAACACATCGTCCTTGCGCCTGGCCATGGGGGAAGCATTCCGCGATCCCCAGATTTTTCCGGGAAGGTAGCGAGCCTGGATTTCTATCGGAGATAAAACTACTTTCGAACAAAGCATTGTACAGAACTGCTACCGCGGCAGGGTACTTCATTCTTCAGAATACAAAGCAGGCTCTGGCTATGTTGGCAAGAAAGTGGTTATTGTGGGTGCATGCAACTCAGGTAGGACCTCGATGACTTCGCAAGACGCATCAATCTTCATAATGACCCCGTATTCAGCGCACGATATCGCGCTGGATCTATGCAACCATAACGTCGACGTGACCATGTAGGTTAGGAGTTTTTTCAGCGTTTCCTCACGTTCAACGCAAGCAGTATACAAAGGTCTTCCACTTTTGTTATCTCACAACAGGCCTTGGTAGCTGGACATGCAGGTGATCTGTCCTTCGCACCCAGTTCATCATAGCCATTTACAATGAGAATAGTCAGATACAATGACGACTTCCCGATCGAGCTTGCCGATCTTCTCGAGTCTGCACTGCCCTGGTCAACGCAAAAATCGATCACACAACACACTACTCCTCGGGTGGCCGGAACGACCGACAAGTAAATCATATTTCGCCCTTTAGAAACATCGCATGCTTACACGTTATTTAATACGAAGGGCTTTGCTTGAAGGCCTCAAGCGTGTTGGATTCCAGACGAATCTGGGCCCTGAGGGAGCCGGCCTCATTGCCCTGGTTTACGGACGCGGGGGAGGTTTCTATATCAGTATGTTCTCGAAATTCTTTCCACTTAGAGTGATAAAAAAGATCATGCGCTACCCCGCATTTCCCCGCAGACACTGGTGCAAGTGATAAAATCATAGATGGTAGCATCAAGCTAAAGAGTGGCTGTTCGGTTGGACACTTCACCACACATGGTCTGGCACTGGATGACGGAACTGAGTTTCAAGCGGATGTAGTTATTCTTGCCACGGGGTATGTGCGCCGTTCTACCGCGGAGGCGGGGGTTCTTGAATGTAATTTGCAGCTTTGGCGACCTACGTGATAGCGTGAGGTTGATGTGTGGCGAGGAAGTTGCGCAGAAGGTCGGGCCTATGTGGGGGTTGGACGATGAAGGCGAACTACGTGGCGTCTGGAAGGATAGCGGACACGAGGCTCTTTGGATTGCAGCCGGTATGCGAGCTCATTAATAACGAATCATTCTACGCATGCTAACGGGCGCCAGGAAACCTATCACGAGCACGCATTCACAGCATGCATTTAGCCTTACGTGAGACGCACTCTGAACATTCTGTGGCTTCTCGCTCACCACGGTCTAACAGAGATTAAAGCGAGTTTGGAGGGCTTGTTCAGGCGCGAAGAACTCCTATTTTAGGTTGGGTTCGCGTGGTGATCATCGGGGAAGTGCAATTGAACCTTCTCCTCAACCCCCCCCAACCCTACTATACTTCTCACCCAAAGTTAACTTTGCGCTACGTCGCGTGTTACGCCCCGTATCTATTCGTCGTATCCACTCCGCAGCACCGTATTTCGAAATTCTTCGTGAGGATTATTTAAATAAGGACATTTTCACTCACGCATTGGAACGTCCAAATTTCATTTCTTTTACGGACTAGGTCGCAGACCAGCCTCGATATTCCAATTTCCCATTCAGAGATTAACTACCAAATATGAATGGGCTTATGGACTAAGGGAGACTAGAAGACTGTGTCAGCCTCCAAGAATCCTCGTGACCTATAAACGTGTCGCAGTGGCGACATGATAAGGCCTGATAAGACAGCGTATCTGGTTCTACAGCGCCCTTCATTGAAGCCTTAGCATGTCCTTGAGATTTCATAGAGCTCTAAGTAGGTCCAACGTGCATTGAGGTCATGGTGTTGATCGACGGGGGTACGGAGGCGAACAAAATTCCGTGGGAATACATACTGAATTGTATATCCGAAATGAATTACGTCAAAATGTAAAAGGTGAAATATTATTATAAGAAACTCCTTCCATGTTGGAGATCAACTTGAGCTGTGCGCGTTTCTGTTAGCCAGCAGTGCCTTGTCCTGGACGCCATCCTCTTTTCTCTTCCCCCGTGGTCTCAATCTCCGTGTTTCTCCTTTAACAAGTAGGGTGTACTCCCTCAACTGCTATTCGTCATGAGCGTCCTTGTACCCACCAAATTTCCCAGCGTCGCTGCTGTCATGCTTGCCTGCATTGCATCTCTCTTTTGCCTGCTTCTTGCGCGCATAATTTATGGCTTTATGCGCTTCTGGTCTTGTCCTACTATCTCAACGGCATCGGACGTGAAGACCTCTGCTTGGGCGTCTTTGTCGTCGCTACCCAACACGTGGAGTCAGTCTCTGCAGCGTGCTCTCCCAGCACCACTACCCTTTTCGTTCACCATCCCAGAGAAACCATCGCCTGAAGTCGGCGCAGGAGCTGGCGTAGGACTTTCACCTGAACGAGTCGGATCTCTCCCTGGCAACTGGCAATTGCGTCGACCAGGTCGTCAATTCCAGCCACCACGTAAGAATTTCTATCGATTTCTGTGTCGCAGTGCTAACTTGTTGCATTCTAGCACCAGTAGTGTACCAAAATCCGGCACCTCTCTCCATGGCAAAGCTCATCATGTCACGACACGTATGCAATGCTTCGTCACCTGGTAGTTACAATCACTGACGTCTTGCCCAACCCACAGACCTTCCGCCGCCCAAATCCAAACCGGCCACGTAGATTGTCTACCGCATCTTCATCCCGTCCTCCACAGCCGACCTCCCAGCTGTTCCACTCAATAGCATAAACACATAATAATTCATTCCCGCGCCAAAATAACTCCGCATTTTAGGGTGGGTATGGGCTACCCGGCCGGAAATAGCTTATACCCTCACCCACGCTAATCACGAACGAATCTCAAGATTCTCAACGGACTGGTCGCTCATGGTTCATGAGCCCTGATGATATACTACGGAATCTACGTGATTATTTATGATTGGACTTACATAGTACTCAAGGCAAAGCAGACAACGAAGGACTGACAAACGGCTTTTTCATTTCTATGTACACACAGGACATGCTTTCTTTGCTTTTTCTTTATACTTTTTTTATACTTTCGATCCTTCTACCTTTTACTATCGTTTAGTCCTTGTTACATGAACATACCGTTAGCATCCCTTAGACGGTTCGCCGTTTGTCGAGGACTCGTAGCCCACATGCAAAGCAGACATCTTTTCGTTCGCGTTTTCCCAGTTACACTTATTCTGAAACCGAGCGCTGAAGTGTCGGAGGGTGGAAAGATGTCTTGGCCACATCTTTGGATTTGTTGGCCTATAGGCTATTAGATCCGGGAAAATGAGCGTATAAATATACGTAAGTCAACGTCAATACCCCACCGCCAACGTCCTTACACAGAAAAATGCCAGTGTTGACCCGATGTTCGCGCAGGTCGGAGAGCACTGGATGTATCGATAGGTGCCTGTGGCTGAAACAAGGGCCCAGGGTGGGTCATGCCAAGTCAATCGTCCTATAGGGTCGATATTGGTGACAAGTGACTCCTATGAAAAGAAGGAATGACTTTCCTCCTTTTTCACCTGAAGGTCTGGCTACGGGAGACTACTGGTGGCAACTCCCAGTAATTCCCTTGCTCGTAAGGCTTCTGGTCCCGGCGCGGGGGGCCGCGTTGCTAACAATCTCGAACTCGTGACTGTACGAGGCTTATCTCTAGTCCCACGGGCGTCCAGATGCGCATAGTAAGAGAAGTGGTTTATCAACAGACAATAGTCGGAACTGCGTGTTTAACCTAACCCATTCATTACCTCTCTGAATCTCGTTGACGCCTGCAGTGCACAATGCCTGGAGATATGCCCGATCGTGACGTGCTCTCGGAGAGCATGTTCCCTGATTTATATGAATCTGGAATTACCGACCTCCAAAAGGGTCTTGAGAAGGGGCACTTTACGAGCGTTGATCTCATCAAGGTGAGATTCATTAAAGAATTGGTTTATTTCATGACGAATATTCACGTAACTACAGGCTTATCTTGCCAGGATTGAAGAGGTTAACCTGAAGGGTGCAGCTCTCCATGCGGTCATCGAGACGAACCCGAATGCTTTATCTCAGGCCGCAGAACTTGATGCCGAGCGCAAGTCTAAAGGGAGTAGAGGCCCACTGCATGGCATGCCTTTGCTACTCAAAGATAACATCGCTACACTGCACGAAGAAGGTACGTGATTATCGATGGTTAACAATACTTTACTCATCCTCCCGGAGGCATGAACACTACCGCTGGTACGATATCCAAGAACGTCTAGTTCTGGGTTAAATATTTTGCGAGATTAGGCTCTCATGCCCTCTTGGGTTCCGTCGTCCCGAGGGATGCATTCGTTGCGACTAAGCTCCGCGCGGCCGGTGCTATCTTTCTCGGAAAGGCCAACCTCTCTGAGTGGGCAAACTATCGTGGTAAGGTTCCAAACGGCTTCTCCGGACGTGGAGGTCAGACTCTTTGCCCTTATTACCCGAATGGTGATGCGTCTGGATCGAGCTCCGGAAGTGGGGTTTCGATGGCCATAGGTCTTGCTGCTGGCTCTCTGGGCTCGGAAACGGATGGTTCCATTGTTTCTCCAAGCAGCAAGAACAATGTAGTGGGCATTAAGCCCACTGTAGGGCTGGTGTCTCGAGCAGGAGGTATTTTATTTTCCAAACCTGCCTTGACAGTTGGTTGAGTCTCTTTAGTGATACCTATCTCATCACACCAAGATACAGCTGGGCCAATGTGTCGGTCAGTTTCGGATGCAGCCCTCCTACTCTCCGTCATCGCCGGGCCAGATCCTCGAGACGAAGCCACGTTGCACCAGCCCGGTGTCCTCCCTGACTACATGAAAGCGCTTGATCCTAACGCCCTGAGAGGCAAGCGACTGGGAGTGCCGCGGATGTTCCTCCGCGATGGTGAAGTGATCCGGGAAGCTTTCGACGCTTCATTAGACACCTTCCGGGCACTCGGCGCGGAGATCGTAGATCCAGCCGACTTCCCCTGTGCCGAGGAGATGAAGGTGTCGCAAGCAGAATCGCTTGTGCTAAAGACAGACTTCAAGGTCGATGTGACCACATATATTTCGGGGTTACTCAAAGTTCCGACTGGCGTAAAGAACCTCGCGGATTTGATCGAGTTCAATAAGACCCACGCGGATTTGGAGCTCATACTACCATACCACGACAACCAGGATAGGTGGGTATACGTGTTGGTGGTGCTATGAAGTTTCTCACTCTTCCTGCAAGGTTCATCGAGGCTGAAGCAACGGAAAAAAACGATGCTTATTATGCAGCTCTGGCTGAAGATTTCGATCTAGGCCGTACACGAGGCGTTGATGCAACTCTCCAAAAATACAAATTGGATGCAATCATTCTTCCTACTGACGGTACGTATGATCATATTCTGGCGTCGATTTTGGAATCTCAAATTTTCTTTAGGGCTCGCCTCAAAACCTGCAGCAATTTCTGGATACCCTATAATCTCGGGTGAGATTCACCACTTTTATGAAAGTTCATTTGACTAAATCAAACGCTTAGTTCCGCTGGGCTTCCAGCCAGATAATGTTGAGATATTGCCATTGCCCGCTGCGCCACTGCACACACAAGCTCCCGGGCTTCCTTTCGGAATAGCCTTCATAGGCACCGCATACAGCGAATTCAGTCTTATTAGCATTGCCTATGCATTTGAGCAGGCTACGCATGCCCGGCTGAAAAGAAGGGCCTATGCTGAAGCAATTCCTGCGACGCAGATCAAGGACGTGCTTTCAGCTTGAACAGAGACGTACACTGGCAGGACTAGCGCGTACAACTACGTACGGTTTTCTTCTTGAACACACGTTCATCGTGATATAGAAGCATGTCTTGTATTTGTATGCAATTGAACGATGACAATTCATTATTCATTCCCCGCATGAGTGGAAGGCGTGAACGATATACACCAGCTGTGAGTTTTCTTTAGTGTGGTTGATGCTTTATTCTCGCCAGGTTTCTCGTTTACGCTCCTTCGATCGCGGAATTCTTTGTCGTGGGTCCTTAGTTCCAGATCACCAGATGGATCGCCTGGATTATCACTGGGGCCCATCAAGGTGTCCTTTGAACTCGAGCGGTCAAATGCCAGGCCACGGTCCACGGAGTTCTCATTGGCAAACTTGAAACTTCATGAATACGAGCTGCTTGATCATATGTGGAGATGAGCCTTTCGGTGATACATACATGTGCTCCTCATCCCGTGCATCTGATAAGTTCGTAGATGTGTCCTTCTCTTGCAGAACCGTGACAGAGAAGACTTATATACAGCGTTTGTCCTGTGATTATGCGTTTTGAATGCTTCACTGCTCTGTTGCTTCTTCATGCGCCGGATCGTCAGGCGGGAGAAGACCAACGCTCTAGTATAATAAATACTACTCGCCACCAGCGGAACGAATTTCAATTGATGCGAAGTTCACGGTTTCCAGAATGAGCCCCAGGACATTTGTCTGGCATGCATATAATATATCAGGAGTAAAGATGAGGAGAGACGAAAGATCGAAGGCAACGACCGAGCGGAGGAGACAGGAGTACAGAGGGGCATCTATAATAACGATGCGACCGCCCGATGGGAGAATTGATGATAACTGAAGCTAGCTATCAGCAAATGCGCGAGGGGTAGGCACATCCCTTCTGCACCCGTTAGGCGGAGAGGTCGGTTCCACACCAGCACTAAATGCTTAGTCCTGGTATGGTCAGCGTGATCTGATGGGAGAGGCTCAGATCCGACTGAGGATGGGGAAGTGTTCGAGTACGCGTTGGCAGGCAGAATCCTGAGTGAGAGGGAGTGGATACTGTGTTTCAGTTATTATGCAAAGGTGCGGCCTGCTGTGCTCGGAATTCGTGTGCTGAAGTACACATGGAAGGGTCGAGATACTAGGAGGGTAAATGCGGATCTCTGCATTTGGGGAAGTGTATTGTCGGAAGTGGGAAGAGCTGATGTGGATTCATGAGAGAGTAAGACGGTCAATAGGATAAGGGAACAAGAACTATCAAGATACGTAGACTGGTTAAGAGAGGGCGTGCAAGAGCCCAAGTAAACTCGGCAAACACCGGTGCAACGTCCGCCCACCCACGAATATTTGTTCTTCCGCTCAATCTATAGTCAAGGCCTAAAGGACTGTCAACTATCCTTCGTAACGTTGCACGACGGAAGCCCGTTCCATCCCTGCAATGTGCGAGCTACAGCATATATTGCCATATTACTCGTGTCTCGGCGCCATATTCTCTCGTACCTCAGGAACTTTAGACGCTGGCTTGTTGCAACCACTTGCAGGTTGTTTATGTTCAAAGTCTCGTCTCTGTCCCTAGGCCACGCTTTCTCCAAGTCACATTCACCCTCACATTTTCGTTGTACATGTACTGTCACGCTATCTCATCTTATATTCGACGGAATTTCGACCTGTCATACTCTCGCAAACCGTTGCCTTTGTTTCCACGACGCTTTGACTCTCGGTCATTCTCCTCCATGGCATCAACTCAACACTCGCATAGAATGGTTCGTATTCTTAGCGCCATGAAATAAACTGGATTCTACATTTTGCGTTATAGTGCGATAAATGGATAGTATGAGTGATACAATTGAGAGCGTCCCACTCTTATTGAGGCCGACTCGCATGACTACTCCGTACCAGCATCCTGGCCCATCGTAGGCCACTTTTGCTGATGTGACTCATCTCGACAATGTCCACTTCATTAGCGGAGCCTCTCCTGCAGCCGTCTTCGTCTTAGTTTGGTCTTAGCGCTCAGTGCAATCAGACCAGCGTCTATCGTGCCGAACAACCATCGACCGCATGGAAATACACGTGTAGTATACCCTCGCTTTATCCTCTCCCTCTCACCTCAACTTCATCCACAGTCCTCATCCATTCGCCCCTTCTTGTCCCACCACTCAGCCCATCCCCATCTCTTGTCATTTGCTTCATTGCGCCATCATGTCCGGTAGCTCGGAAGGCCAATGTATCAGACTTGAAGGTGAGCTGCTCCATACGACCTTAGGATCTGTTTCATGGTCTTCACGCTTTATCCACAGTTATAAGCGGAAAACAACTTAAAGTCCCTTCCACGCGCATGCCCGCAGGCATTTACGTGTCTATCAAACTCGACGAGACAAGACGCTGGAAGTCAGCTGTCCGAGTTCCATCTTTTGACCGTTCCGTAGTTTGGGGCGATATCGTGACCTTGTAAGGCCTTCCACTGAGACTGACGGATGCGATTCCAGTACTCATCATCGGCTTGCAGATCAACAGATGTGTCACCTAGATTATCACTGGAGATCCGTGCATCCTTTGAACTCGGTCGAATGCTAGGGCAGGGAGAACTCATTGGAGAACTTGGTATCTTCTCGAATGAGCTCCTCGATCATGGAGTCGAGCCTTTCGGTGTGTGATCTGCTTCACATTCATCTGCATCTCCTCATTGGTCGTAGATATGTCCTTCCCTCCCATTCGAGGCGTCTGTCCTTCTCTCACGCTGAAGGCCACTTCCGTGCATGATTGCAAAAACGACGACGGTGAACTGTTTGATGTGAGTGACTCAGCCTCTATACCGTTGGCTTTTTCTCATAGAACGCAAACTGTAGTCCATCATCGACTGCGAGACTGCTCGAGATACGGATGCAGGACACACGAGATTGACCAAATACGTGACCAGCAAGAGCGTCTCTGACCTGAACGATGCTGTGGAGCATTTTCAGGGGGTTCTAGACCGGTGTCCGGTCGGCCATCCCGACCATGCAGCCGCACTCACTAACCTTTCGTGGGCCCGCCTTAAAGGCTATATTAGAAAGGATCTTCAAGACATTGACTCTACCGCCTCTCTATTCCGCGATGCCCTTGCATCGCGTCCGAAGGGCCACCCCGATAATCCCATATCTCTCTATCACCTCACCTTAGCGTTGGGCTGGCGCTATAGCAACCAACGTACCACCGCCGATATGCGCGAATCCGCCCGACTCTACCATGAGCTACTGTCTTTTTGTCCCGAGGACACCTATCTTCATAGCATCGCGGTAGAGGAGAATGGTGCGGGTTATGTGATCGCGGCGTGCAACAATCTTCCGACGGACACATCCGATGAAGGCATCCAACTTCGACGAATCGTGCTCGAGTTATGTCCTCTGGGTCATCACCGCCGTCCAAGAGCCCTTGACAATCTCTCAAGCGCACTCGACGCATCGTTCAGACAATCGGGCAGCATAGAGGATATAGACGAGAGCATACAACTTCGTCGCGAAGCCCTTTCTCTGTGCCCCGAGGGACACCCTGGCCGTAATGACTACTTGCATAACCTAGCCCTTTCAATCCGTAAACGCTTCGATCACCAAGGCAGACCTGATGATCTGGACGAGGCCATCTCTCTGCATGAAGAATCACTGGACCTGCGCCCTGTTGGGCATGGATCTCGTCATGAATCATTAATGAGCCTAGGGGGCGCCCTCCGCACGCGTTTCCAGAAACATGGTGACATTAATGACATCAACAGAGCCATCAGCCTCCGTCGCGAGGCACTGGCATTGTGCCCACCTGGGCATCCACGTCGTGACACCATGCATAACAACCTTGCCCTCACGCTCAAAATCAGATATAACAAATTGGATGGCGGCGAGGATCTTAACGAGGCCATAAATCTGTATCGCGAATCCCTTCAGTTAACGCGACATGATCATTCAGAGCGCCATAGTTATCTTTCCAATTTGAGCTCGGCACTCCGCTCTCGCTTCAAGGAAACTCAGAACAATGAAGATATTGAAGAAGCCATTAGTCTCTGCCAAGAATCATTGGCGGATTTACCTCTGCTGCACCCTGATAGATGCACCAGCTACACATGGCTGCAGGAGGCCTATCTGTCTCGCTACGAGATGCAACACAACTCTACTGATTTGTCACTTGCAGTGGAGAATTTCAGACTGGCATCAAGACATCCCACTGCAGGCTTGCCGCGACGCATCATTGCAGCATATTGTTGGACTGTCACAGGGGAGCAGCATAGTCATGGATCTGCATTGGAGGCCTACACTACTTTTTTCGAGCTTCTTGACGCTCATCTGGCCACATGGTCATCAACCACTTCGCGGCGCAAAGCTGCTGCTGCCTTCTGTGATTCCAGAACACTCCCTGTAGACGCTGCGTCGTGTGCCTTGCGCCATCATGACCCACAAAGAGCCGTCGAACTCGCGGAGCAGGGCCGTGGCCAGCAGTGGTCGCTGGCCTCCCGACTTAAGACTCCGCTTCAAGATCTTGAATCAGCAAACCCGAAACTGGCTCACAAGTTCTCGGAGCTAAGCCAGCGCATTGCCAACACTGCTCAGGGGTCTGCATCCGTCACCGACAGAGCTGCTGCTGATGTAGCAGCAAGAGAGTACAGGAGACTTACGAAGAAATGGGAAGCTGTGGTGGCAGAAATTCGCAATGTTCCAGATTTCTCGCAATTCCTGCTCCCACTCTCGTACAGGGATTTGCAGGCAGCAGCGAGCCATGGCCCAGTTATCATCCTCATTGCAAGCAGCTACTCGTGCAATGCTGTTATTGTCCCGACTTCAGGAGAACCCCGCCATGTTCCCTTCTCGTCTGTTACTCTCGAACATCTCGAGATGCTCAAGAACGACTTCACCAGGGAGATACGGCATGCAGGTCTTATGGGCCCAACGGAGCCGAGGAAGGATTTGCGGGTACTCTTGCGGAAAATATGGGACGTGATCATGCTACCTATTGTTAATGTCCTCCAGCATGATCTGAAATTGCAGCGCCGGTCTCGAATATGGCTGTGTCCCACAGCAGCCTTCACATCCATTCCTCTCCATGCAGCTCACCCCTTTCGCACGAAGGAACCATGCCTGGAGGATCTTTATGTCTGCTCGTATACGCCAACACTGTCAGCTTTGATCAGGTCTCGACAGATGATGAAGACCCGCACGGCCCCTCCGTCCTTCGTGGCGATTGGGCAAAGTCAACCAGGTGCTGGGCAAGGCACGGTGCTCGCTGCTGTCGACAGTGAGCTCGAGCTCGTCCATAAACTCATTCCCCCCAGTGTCAAGTTCACCACTCTTTCTGGCGACGACGCTACACAGGCAGGTGCACTCGATGCTTTGCGATGCAACACCTGGGCGCACCTCGCTTGTCACGGCAAGCAGGACCGTGAGCAGCCTTATAATTCACGCTTCGCAATGAGAGATAAACCTCTCACGCTGCTGGACATCATGGGGAATGATGCTCCGCAGGCTGAATTTGCGTTTTTATCGGCATGTCATACCGCCGTCGGCGATGAGGAGACACCAGACGAAGTCATCCACCTCGCTGCTGGTCTGCAATTTTCCGGGTTTAAGAGCGTCATTGGTACTCTTTGGGGGGTCGACGATGCTGTTGCAGAACATGTCGTCAAAGCTTTTTACGAGAATATGTTCAAGAAGGAGGGTGTCATTGACTGTACAAGGGCAGCCTTGGCACTCAACTATGCTACCAACGCCGTGAAGAAAAAAATACCGCTCGAGCAGAAAATTGTTTTCGTGCATATTGGTGTGTAGTTCTATGATGTCGTATTGCTTTCATCTCGTACAGATCTCCAAGTCGTTGATATTCCATTCTCTTCTGCTCACTACTTCAAGTTTTGTAGGTTACCATGTTACTCTTGTGGTATCTTGTCGCATTCTCGCTCGTGTTGTTGTCTACTCTGTATTCGAATTTAGATGTTTGCCGCATCACCGAGTCCTGCTTGAGTACGAGTCGACTCGCACCTTCCACCCATTCTTCTACACCTCAAGATAGACGTATGCTATTTGCATTGAACCGCGCTTCCGCATCGACTTTGATGACATCCTTGTGTTGACACTCGCTAGCCCTCTCGCACTGAACCTTATATATTCTTGCAGAGGAGATGTTCGTCGCCCAAGGATGGTGAGACTGCAAGTATAACTCGAAGCTTCAGTTGTAATGCTTAACTACCACCCCATCGATGATCTCTTCTTCTATGCCCTTCTCATTTCCACCCTTCAATTTTGAATGGTCATAAGCCCTTGACCTCGCTTTCCTCCATTGTTCCATAGTTAGTGCCTCGCTGTCGTCGCAACGTCTCTGAATTCCCACTCTCTTCAAGACTGGGCTTTCGACCATCGGCACCAACTTGACATCGTCGTTAGGCATGGAAAAGTAGAATACTCCAAGGCGAGTGTAGTTCCGCTGGTCCACTGGGGGCTGTACAACGCGGTGGATCGTGCCCTTGTAGTACCCGCCGGAAAGGAATTCCATTGTATCACCTGCGTTGACGACCTGTAACGCCTCTCGTTATGTCATGAGTCGAGAGATAGAACGTGACCACCTACAAGTGCATTTTCCAGATGACGGATCCAACGCCATTCGCCTTCACGGGTTTGAATTTGCAGTGCAGCGACAGGCTGACTCCACAGAATCGTAATGCTCCCCAAGTCTCAGTGGTGACTCTGTAAGCACATGTTTTGTTCGTGATCAAGGTCACTGACCTGTGTGTCCCCTCAACCAAACGTTCTTTGTTTCGATTTCTTCTTCCTCTGTTCGTGGGTGGCTAAAATACATGAACTTGTGAAGAGTAAAAATCCAAGGATGAACCCACTACTTGATGAACCTGACTGATCGATAAGTCAGCAACGGCATGAAGTACTTGGAAAATATATACCAGCTGTCTCGCCGACGGCGTCATAGTCATGGTTGTTCACTAGCGTATCTTCCGGCAGCTCGAGGCTGCGTGCAATAACCCTGAGAAAACATGCTATCAGAGAAACATCCCGAGCACACCGATAGGCGTTTACCTTAGGATAGGATGCAACACGTTGAAGTGATTGTGTTTGTTAAACTCTTGGATCTCTGGGAGAAGAGGACGGAGGGCTTCTGGGTGTCTTCGCTCGGTCACATCGCGATTGGCTATAATGGTGTGGGGCGAGTCAACGAAAATGAAAGTATTCTGCTCACTGGAGTATTGTTCAAGCTGGTCGCGCACTCTACCGTCGGTATCCTGAATTCAATGGATTTGCGTGAATAAAACGCCTGTGTGTTGTGCGATGCACAACTGCTACGTACCGTGTACTGCAGTAATGTATATCCTTGGACTGACCCAGTTTCTCTCCGTGTTGAAACATAAGTTTGCTTCTCGTCATCAGTGACGGCCGAGAAGGGTACGTCCGCAATGTCAAACATGCGAGCTGTCTGGGTCGAGGTATGAAAATCTGCATGGTATGAGAGAATTGGCTCACTTGGGCTTTCGAATACCCGTGGTTCACGACATAGAAGAACCCATTGTTGAGGAGGGCCTCCTTTAATTCAATTGCGAGCGCTGCACGACCTTCTTCAGTGGCGGCTTTCGAAATGTCGATGATCGCAAGGTCAGCATACTCCACTGTCAATGCACATGTCAGTGTTCTGTGTGAGCAGAGGACTCTGTACAGACAATTTTCCTTCGTAGGAGGTGCTGCAACGTAATGCGGCACGTAGGGCAAGGTAAGACATACCTCTTCACAATATCAATAATTTAAGTAATCTAAGGGACGAAAAGGAACTCGGGGATTTACTGATGTTTCGCTTACCCTTGACTTTTGTAGGCTTCTTACAAAGATCTTTCTCCTCATCAGTGTCTGGATCGATACCTCCATAGTCGTCTTCTGATTGCACACTCTCGTCGGTGCTCGGATATGGCAAGGTGAAGGCAAAGTCTCACTGCATACTTGTTAGATTGGATTTCGTCCGTGAACTGACTCGTTCCTCTAGTTTTTGATTTAAAGTTTAGTCAAGTGACGACGTCATCAAGTTGAAAATTTGTCTTGCCATTCTCTTCCGTGCTTCCCTGCGAGCGACCTGCGGGTCAATCTTACCCTTAGCCTTTCCTGTGATCAACGAGAGCTTATTTGCAGTGCAGTAGTCTGCAGCGTAGTGTTTGAAATTTTCATGTAAGCACTTAAGAATGTCGTCGTCCGTCTTTGATTTGATGAGATCGGCAGATACAATTGAGTGGCATGATCGCATGTGGTTCCTAACGTCAGACTCTTTGCCCTTATTACCCGGATGGTGATGCGTCTGGGTTGAGCTCCGGAAGTGGGGTTTCGATGGCCATAGGTCTTGCTGCTGGCTCTCTGGGCTCGGAAACGGATGGTTCCATTGTTTCTCCAAGCAGCAAGAACAATGTAGTGGGCTTTAAGCCCACTGTAGGGCTGGTTTCTCGAGCAGGAGGTATTTTCTTTTCCAAACCTGTCTTGACAGTTGGTTGAGTCTCTTTAGTGATGCCTATCTCATCACATCAAGATACAGCTAGGCCAATGTGTCGGTCAGTTGCGGATGCAGCCCTCCTACTCTCCGTCATCGCCGGGCCAGATCCTCGAGATGAAGCCACGTTGCACCAGCCCGGTGTCCTCCCTGACTACATGAAAGCGCTTGATCCTAACGCCCTGAAAGGCAAGCGACTGGGAGTGCCGCGGATGTTCCTCCGCGATGGTGAAGTGATCCGAGAAGCTTTCAACGCTTCATTAGAGAACCTTCCGGGCACTCGGTGCGGAGATCGTAGATCCAGCTGACTTGCCCTGTGCCGAGGAGATGAAAGTGTCGCAAGCAGAATCGCTTGTGCTAAAGACAGACTTCAAGGTCGATGTGACCAACTATATTTCGGGGTTACTCAAAGTTCCGACTGGCGTAAAGAACCTCGCGGATTTGATCGACTTCAACAAGACTCACGCGGATTTGGAACTCATATCACCATACCACGGCAATCAGGATAGGTAGGTATATGTGTTGGTAGTGCTATGGAGTTTCTCACTCTTCCTGCAAGGTTCATCGAGGCTGAAGCAACGGAAAAAACCGATGCTTATTATGCAGCTCTGGCTGAAGATTTCGATCTAGGCCGTACACGAGGCGTTGATGCAACTCTCCAAAAATACAAATTGGATGCAATCATTCTTCCTGCTGACGGTATGTACGAACATATACTTGCGTCGATTTTGGAATCTCAAATTTTGTTTAGGGCTCTCCTCAAAACCTGCAGCAATTTCTGGATACCCTATAATCTCGGGTGAGATTCACCACTTTGATGAAAGTTCATTTGACTAAATCAAACGCTTAGTTCCGCTGGGCTTCCAGCCAGATAATGTTGAGATATTGCCATTGCCCGCTGCGCCACTGCACACACAAGCTCCCGGGCTTCCTTTCGGAATAGCCTTCATAGGCACCGGGTACAGCGAATTCAGTCTTATTAGCATTGCCTATGCATTTGAGCAGGCTACGCATGCCCGTCTGAAAAGAAGGGCCTATGCTGAAACAATTCCTGCGACACAGATCAAGGACGTGCTTTCAGCTTGAACAGAGACTAGCGCGTACACCTACGTACGTTCCCCTTTTTGAACACACGTTCATCGTGATATAGAGCCATGTCTTGGATTTGTATGCAACTGAACGATGACAATTCATTATTCATTCCCCGCATGAGTGGAAGGCGTGAACGTCATACACCAGCTGTGAGTTTTCTTTAGAGTGGTCGATGCTTTATTCTCGCCAGGTTTCTCGTTTACATTCCTTCGATCGCGGAATTCTTTGTCGTGGGTCCTTGTTTCCCTTCCTCTCGCCCCTTCGCTTCGACACATGCCCGAGAAAATCCAAAATCCTTGTGCCGTGTTAACGCACCGCAGGATGAAAGGCCAGTGCTTGGATTCGCACATCTATGCTTCCATTTTGCCCTTGATCCTTTCTGGTGTTTGGTCGTGGAAGACTATCTCTCCTGTTATTTCAAGCTTCATCCTCCTTGGGCGTTGTGCACGAGGATAGATTTTTAGACTTTGGTTGGAATGTTTAGCCCTATTTTATGTACTCCGAACACTATCCATTTTTCTCCTAGTAACACTTTCACCCTCACCTAGTGAATGACGTCTTTCTTCTGTCTGGTCCGCCTAGGGGAGACTTCCTTCCGAGTGCAACGCCTTTGTCATTATCATGCTGCTCACCCGAGCAGCATCCTTTATCAATGCCTAAGTTGACTGCACATCTACACTGCGTTATTGTCCTGCCGCCCACCATCTGTGTCGACCGATTGTCATCGGGTCTTCATGCGGGTTAGCTTGGAGGGCCAATCTAAGGCCGCCCCATGACCTGGGTACCTGCTCGGCAAGATGTCGATCAATGTCAACTCGAAAAGACGCTGGAAATCAGCATCGAGTCCCATCATACGACATATTTGCAGTCCTACAACTTGAAAGCATTTGACCGAGACTTGTGAATGCGACTCGAGGACTGATCTTTGGCGTCTAGATCACCAGATGCATCGCCTGGATTATCACTGGGGCCCATCAGGGCGTCCTTTGAACTCGAGCGGTCAAGTGCTAGGCCACGGTCCACAGAGTTCTCATCGGCAAACTTGAAACTTCATGAATACGAGCTGCTTGATCATATGTGGAGATGAGCCTTTCGGTGATACATGCATTTGCTCCCCATTCCGTGCATCTGATAAGTGTGTAGATGTGTCCTTCCCTCGCAGAACCGTAACAGAGAAGACTTATATATGGGGTTTGTCCTGGCATTATGCGCTTTGAATTCTTCACTGCTCTGTTACTTGTTCATGCGCTGGGTCGTCAGACGGAAGAGGACCAACGCTCTAGTATAATCAATACTACTCGCCACCAGCGGAACGAACTTCAACCAAGATATTGATGCGAAGTTCACGGTTTCCAGAATGAGCCCCAGGACATTTTCCTGGCATGCATGTATTATATCAGGAGTAAAGATGAGGAGAGATGAAAGATCGAAGGCAATATCCGAGCAGAGGAGACAGGAATACAGAGGGGCATCTATAAGGACGATGCGACCGCCCGATGGGAGAATTGATGATATCTGAAGCTAGCTATCAGCAAATGCGCGGGGGGTAGGCACATTCCTTCTACACCCGTTAGGCGGAGAGGTCGGTTCCACACCAGCACTAAATGCTTAGTTCTGGTATGGTCAGCGTGATCTGATGGGGGAGGCTCAGATCCGACTGAGGATGGGGAAGTGTTCGAGTACGCGTTGGCAGGCAGAATCCTGAGTGAGAGGGAGTGGATGCTGTGTTTCAGTGATTATGCAAAGGTGCAGCCTGGTGTGCTCAGAATTCATGTGCTGAAGTACACATGGAAGGGTCGAGATACTAGGAGGGTAAATGCGGATCTCTGCATTTGGGGAAGTGTATTGTCGGAAGTGGGAAGAGCTGATGTGGATTCATGAGAGAGTAAGACGGTCAATAGGATAAGGGAACAAGAACTATCAAGATACGTAGACTGGTTGAGAGAGGGCGTGCAAGAGCCCAAGTAAACTCGGCAAACACCGGTGCAACGTCCGCCCACCCACGAATATTTGTTCTTCCGCTCAATCTATAGTCAAGGCCTAAAGGACTGTCAACTATCCTTCATAACGTTGCACGACGGAAGCCCGTTCCAATGTGCGAGCTGCAGCATATTTTGCCATAGTACTCGTGTCTCGGCGCCTTTCACTCCGGCACTGCCCAAGTGAAAGAGTCGCGCAGGTTCTCGTACCTCAGGAACTTTAGACGCTGGCTTGTTGCAACCACTTGCAGGTTGTTTATGTTCAAAGTCTCGTCTCTGTCCCTAGGCCACGCTTTCTCCAAGTCACATTCACCTCCACATTTTCGTTGTACATGTACTGTCACGCTATCTCATCTTATATTCGACCGAATTTCGACCTGTCATACTCTCATAAACCATTGCCTTTGTTTCCACGACGCTCTGACTCTCGTTCATTCTCCCCCATGGCATCAGCTTAACACTCGCATAGAATGGTTCGTATTGTTAGCGCCATGAAATAAACTAGATTCTACGTTTTGCGTTATAGTGCGGTAAATGGATAGTATGAGTGATACAGCTGAGAGCGTCCCACTCTTATTGAAGGAGACTCGCATGAGTACTGCTCCGTACCAGTATTCTGGCCCATCGTAGGCCACTTTTGCTGATACGACTCATCACGACAATATTTGTCCACTTCATTAGCGGAGTCTCTCCTGCAGCCGTCTGCGTCTTAGTTTGGTCTTAGCGCTCAGTCAGTGCAATCAGACCAGCGTCTATCGTGCTGGACAGCCATCGACCGCATGGAAATACACGTGTAGCATGCCCTCGCTTTATCCTCTCCCTCTCACCTAAACTTCATCCACAGTCCCCATATCCAATCGCCCCTTCTAGTCCCACCACTCAGCCCATCCGCGTCTCTCGTCATTTGCTTCATTGCGCCATCATGTCCGGTAGCTTGGAAGGCCAATATATTAGACTCGAAGGTGAGCTACTTCATATGACCTTGGATCTATCTCATGATCTTCTCGTTCTATCCGCAGTCACAAGCGGAAAAAATCTCAATGTCCCTTCCGGCCGCATACCTGCAGGCATTCACGTGTCTATCAAACTCGATGAGACGAGACGCTGGAAGTCAGCTGTCCGAGTACTATCATCCGACAGTTCCGTAGCTTGGGGGAATAGCGTGACCTTGTAAGGCCTTCCACAGAGACTCACGGACGCGATTCCAGTACTCATCGTCAGCTTGCAGATCAACAGATGTGTCACCTAGATTATCACTGGAGATCCGTGCATCCTTCGAACTCGGTCGAATGCTAGGGCAGGGAGAACTCATTGGAGAACTTGGTATCTTCTCGAATGAGCTCCTCGATCATGGAGTCGAGCCTTTCGGTGTGTGATCTGCTTCACATTCATCTGCATCTCCTCATTGGTCGTAGATATGTCCTTCCCGCCCATTCAAGGCGTCTGTCCTTCTCTCACGCTGAAAGCCACTTCCGTGCATGATTGCAAAAACGACGACGGTGAACTGTTTGATGTGAGTGACTCAGCCTCTATACTGTTGGCTTTTTCTGATAGAATGCAAACTGTAGTCCATCATCGACTGCGAGACTGCTCGAGATACGGATGCAGGACACACGAATTTTACCAAATACGTGACCAGCAAGAGCGTCTCTGATTTGAACGATGCTGTGGAGCATTTTCAGGGGGTTCTAGACCGGTGTCCGGTCGGCCATCCCGACCATGCAGCCGCACTCACTAACCTTTCGTGGGCCCGCCTTAAAGGCTATGTTAGAAAGGATCTTCAAGACATTGACTCTACCGCCTCTCTATTCCGCGATGCCCTTGCATCGCGTCCGAAGGGTCACCCCGATCATCCCTTATCTCTCCACCACCTCACCTTAGCGCTGTGCTGGCGCTACAGCAATCAACGTACCACCGCCGATATGCGCGAATCCGCCCGACTCTACCATGAGCTACTGCCTTTCTGTCCCGAGGGCACCTATCTTCATAGCATCGCGGTAGGGAAGAATGGTGCCGATTATGTGATCGCGGAGTGCAACAATCTTCCGACAGACACATCTGATGAAGGCATCCAACTTCGACGAATCGTGCTCGAGTTATGTCCTCTGGGTCATCACCGCCGTCCAATAGCCCTCACTGAGCTCTCAAAGGCACTCGACACATCTTTCGGACAATTGGGCAGCATAGAGGATATAGACGAGAGTATACAACTTCGTCGCGAAGCCCTTTCTCTGTTCCCCGAGGGACACCCTGGCCGTAATGACTACTTGCATAACCTAGCCTTTTCTATCCGTAAACGCTTCGATCACCAAGGCAGACCTGATGATCTAGACGAGGCCATCTCTCTGCATGAAGAATCACTGGACCTGCGCCCTGTTGGGCATGGATCTCGTCATGAATCATTAATGAGCCTAGGGGGCGCCCTCTGCATGCGTTTCAAGAAACATGGTGACATTAATGACATCAGCAGAGCCATCAGCCTCACTCGCGAGGCACTGGCATTGTGCCCACCTGGGCATCCACGTCGTGACACCATGCTTCACAACCTTGCCATCACGCTCAAAATCAGATATGACAAATTGGATGGCGGCGAGGATCTTAACGAGGCCATAAATCTGTATCGCGAATCCCTTCAGTTAACGCGACATGACGATCTAGAGCGCCATAGACATCTTTTCAATTTGAGCTCGGCACTCTGCTCTCGCTTCAAGCAAACTCAGAAGAACGAAGATATTGAAGAAGCCATTAGTCTCTGCCAAGAATCATTGGCGGCTTTACCTCTGCTGCACCCCGATAGATGCACCAGCTACGCATGGCTGCAGGAGGCCTATCTGTCTCGCTACGAGATGCAACACAACTCTACTGATTTGTCACTTGCAGTGGAGAATTTCAGACTGGCATCAAGACATCCCACTGCAGGCTTGCCGCCACGCATTATTGCAGCATCTAACTGGACTGTTGTAGCGGAGGAGCATGATAATGAGTCTGCACTGGAAGCCTACGCAACATTTTTAG